AAAACAGCAAATTAAAATGATGATATTTTTTTATCAAAATAAGCTGCAGTTTTAAAAAAAAGAAGAGAATATAAAGAGTCTAGTGGTGGTGTGTGTGGTCTTGTGCATAGAGCACAGGTCACAAATAAGGTGAAGTATAGCAACGTTGGTCACAGAGAGACCTTGGATGGGTGACCATGTTTGGAAGCTTGACTTATAGTTTGTAGCACTTCTGTCTTGCTCAACAACAAAGCACACATATGGTCTCACCTCACTGGCTTAGGCAAGTGAGTTTGTTCAAACTTGCCTCTGTTCACCCAGCAGAAAATGGGTACCCGGTGGGATAAGTCATGACTATTAAATTTCTAGTGCCTCATAGGCAGCTTGGGTTATCCAGGGTAATAATGTCCATCATGTTGTATGCTCTTACTCTTAGAGAATGTCTACCCATGAAGGTCCGAGTTAGAATATTGGGTTATTCAGTAACCCATGCTTGTCGTAAGAGGCGACTAACGGGATCGGGTGGTCAGGTTCGCTGACTTGGTTGACACATGTCATCGGTTCCCAATTGCGCAGATCCCTGCTCATGCTGTTGATCACTGGATTGTCTTGTCGAGACTCGATTATTTACAGACCGCCGCCTTATAACTGGAATATTGTGGAATGCAGCATAAAACTAAACTCACTCACTCACTCTTAGAGCATGTCCCTATGGTGTGGAGTTCTGCACTATATAAGTGGCCATATTATTACTATTAGCATAGTCATCATTTGCAACTTCTGAAGTCTGTGGGTCCTTATGGTAGCCTGGCACTTTTGTATTTCATACACTGTATATACATGTCACTGGTCTGAATCTGTGTTTGAAAAAAATAATGCAACCTTACACAAACATTCACTCTTTGCTACACACTGCTTTCACTCAAACTGTCGATGCATTTGAAAGAAAACATTAACCCTTCTTAAGTTATAGGATATCATCAAAATTCATTTTAAATTTTTCCTTTTTCCAGCCAGATCATTGAATGCCCTTGCACACATAATTCAATTTTCTTTAGTGTGATAATCATCTTTTGTGTGATTCCTCCTCCTAAATGGAAGATGATCAGATCAACAGAGGCAGGGTAGTGGATCTCACACAACAAAGGTGCACAGCATGACTGAATTTACGCACCAGATGCAATCACCTCATTACCTTACTCAGCTACACTGCCCCAGTGTAAATATGCGACGAATTTTCTTAATTTGATCAGGGGGTTTCATAATTTGCATCAAAACATCCTCGAGCTTCTTTCATGAAACTTAACATGTAGACACTGTTGATTTCTTGTGGCCAAAATAATCCATTTAGCCTTTAACAGAATAACCCTAAACATGCCTTGCAATCCTTATTTAAGATTGCATGTTAATGACAGTTTATGCCGAAGAACAGTTTGATATACATAAGGAACATTTAAATAGAGCTTGTAACTTGCCCACCCACATTTGTCTTGCACTCTTCCCTATGTAATAATATCTGGCTTTGAACAGCTCTTTCGTGAAATTGGAATAAATTCATGTATTTTCACTTTCATTTTTGGTATATCTGGTATCTATCCCACTGTGAACAAGGTATTACAATAAATCTCATGAATTGAAGTGCAATAATAGAACAATGGGGAAAGTTCTTTGGATATACAACTTCTATATCATAATGTAAGAGATGTTTTGTTGTGTCTGCTAACACTGTTATCAAGCAGGTGTTCATCACACCAACTTCCAAATGCCACGTTAGAGCAATCATAGGTAATTATAGGCCTTTGACCGTATATATTAAAATTCTTTTAGTGAGTGAGTGAGTTCAGTTTTACGCCTCTTTTAGCAAAATTCGAGCAATATCACGGCAGAGGACACCAGAAAGGGGTCTTTACCCATTGTACCCATGTGGGGAATGGAACCTGGGTCTTCGGCTTGACGAGTGAACACTGAACGTCTTAACCACTAGGCTACCCTATCGCCCCAAAATTGTCTTAAACATATGACTGAAATATCACTTGTCAGCTTAATGTGGGAGTAAAGCCAAAGCGGGCCAGAGATTAGAGTTGTAACACTGACAGTCCAAGGATCATTACTGAGACTGTAACAACAACTACAGGAATAGTAACACATACTTGAGTTACCTGTAAACTACTGTACAAATCCTTTAAATTTCTGGCTAAATCGTCTTGTTTACCATTTGGATATATGTACCAAGGAACAGCTGTTAATAATTAACGGTAACTAGTTATTAATCAGACAATTCACCTTTTGAATTATAATTTTGGTTATGGCTTTTGTTGGATAATAATCGGCCGGCCTATCCTATTCAACATATGTAGCTTAGTGGGTTGTATCTATTTTTAAGAAAATTGAAACAAATGTTAAAGACTTGGACATACCTGCACAGAAGTTCCTAAGAATATAGCCTTAGTGTCAGTACAAGTGGGCAATAATTTGTCATTTTGCAGAGTATTTTAGATATCACCAGGGTCACATGTAACGGCAAAGCAAGGGGTTCTGAGGCTTTAAACATGTTAAGCTATAGTATATTTATCCAGGCGCCCCTTAAATATTCCATTTTTTACATGAAAAGGAACCCTTAATCATTATCCTTAAGTTTGAAAACAATACATCACTGGTTAATTATCCCAAAGGTTTCAATCGGAGAATCTCACACAGCTGGGCTCCCCAACTGTCCAGAACAGGTGGTCCTTGGAGATCAGTGCCCACTGGTCAACTCAGGACATAGATAACCAAGCATCATAACGCAACTCCAAATATCAGCAGGAGATGGGGCCATTTAAAGCCAGTGATTTGTTGATCTAGGATAATCCTATCAGGTCAATTACTTGTGTAAATGTTGTGAGTAGGCTGGATAAGCATCCAGCAATTTACATTATGCAATGAGGCTGACTGCACAGACAAGAATAACAGGACTTAGAGTATGGGGCAGGTTCACTGACCTCAGCATGCGCTGTGGTGCGGTCAGAGTGTTCTGTAAATACGACATAGGTCTGTTCCAGAGACTGTCCAGTCAAATTCTGTTCAATTTGTTCAGTTAAGCAACATCAGCTAAGAAGAACTGATAACACTAAAATGTACTAAAAATTCTAATAGCCAAGTTTGGGCTAGCTGAATAAAAGGTCTTTGACACAGACTGCTAGATACATCCAACACTTCATATCACATATTGATTATCCAGGAGTAACAACTGTTTGATGAAATGTGGAACGTTTTGCGGTGTCCAAAATACATGCTGTGCAGTCTTTGTTGTTATATGATAGTCAGCAATATTTCAGCCATGATACAGTTGATTGATGTCATGAGCAGCGTTTAGCATCACTGGAGCATCAGGGAGTCTTACAGTCGATATATGCCATTTCAGTTGAATTGTTAGAAACCAGGAATTAAACCTGCTAAAACTACACAGTATTGATAATTTGAGTGTACTACTCCATTCAGAACAATCGTAAATCCATTTGAGACAAATCTATGAAATCAGTTTAAGGATGACTCACAACACCATAGTCCTAAGGGTGCATCCACTTACATCCTAATGTTTCAATGGATATGTGATTAATATTGAGGAGATGCTTATTCAAGTCTCACTAACCAGACTATACTTCAGGAAGGCTACAGTTAAAATGATTGTTCTTGTTATTCTTTCTGTTCAGCATATATGTTGATCTTCATATTGATGATATATGTCACAAATCAAAACATTTGATGAAATTAGGTGAAATTTAGAACATAGTATACATGATATAACCTGTGCTAAAAGGATTTGAGCCAACCAGGTAAAACTCATGTTTTGGCACCATTATCCATTCTTCAGGGGTGTAATGATAATGCCACGAAGTATTGTATCATGTTATGAATCTCAAGATACAAAACATTGATTTACAATTCCTGTATCCCAATACATAGAATGCATTAGTTATATTGACATAAAACATGCGAATAGCAACAGAAACTGTTCAAGAACAAGTTTATGCAGATTCTCTAGTACAGCCTGGTTGGCGATAAATAGTAAAATCTGCACAGTGACCATGGTGACCTGAAGCTTATACGTTTCAAACCTACAATATCTCATCTTTGCTGTCTGAAATATAAAACCAAACAATCCAAGGCTGTAATTCACCTGTGAAAAGGGAGAGAATATGAACTTATGAAATATAGACACAAATTGTATCGCACCCTTATTACTGAAGGGGGCAGTGGGGAGCCTTGTAGTTAAAATGTTTGCTCGTCGCACATGGGTACAATGTGTGATGCCCATTTCTGATGTCCCCAGCCGTGATATTGCTTAAAGCAGCATAAAACTAGACTCACTCACTTATTATCAGGATACAAATCGTTTTGCTGCATCATCAAATTGTTACATCTCTACCATCCTCAGCACATTTTGTGGAAATAGATGTACACATAGACATAATACCATGACTATATGCTCAGCCTGTGCCATGAATACTTTCATGGTAATGTACCTAAAATAGACATATGACTTTCATGTTGGTTCTTGTTTTCACATTATTCCTAGAAGGAATTTTACCTGTAAACCTTCATAATTGTTTTTTTACACTACATGATGTAAACTACACAAAAAGTATTTCACATTATATTTCAAACAATGCAATGCTTAGTTTCAACATACAGTAGATTTCATTCATGCAGCTGTGTGGCTTGTATACAACGTTTATATAAAAACAAGTCACCAGCTTGTCATACTCTTTTATCCAATATATTTGAATTTGACTGTTAGATGAAACTGCTTTGTTAATGTAATTTATAAAGGTATACAGTGTATATGGTGTACTATTTAGCACTTGGTCTAAGTCTCTGGCTATTCATCCAAGATAGCCATTATGAAATGAACATCAAAACATTGTTTGGGAAACAGCAAGTTATTTTTCGGTATGTGAAGCAGATGTAGCAGTTGATTATTTCTGTCTATTAAATAACCTCAATTGATTGTATAATATTTGAAGATGGTGGGAACTTACTGTTGCTTGACTTGAGATCTCTGTGTATCAATGGTAGCGGTGCTTCCTCGTGTAAATAATGCATTCCTTTGGCTATCTGAAATGCCCAATCGACTAATATATCTGGAGGTATCCGTCTTCCATTTAACACTCTGTTAAGTGATCCACCTGCTGCATATTCCATAACAAGACACAGGTTCGGCTCCTTGAGACACACCCCTCTCAATGCTGCAATATTGGGGTGATTTAGGAGCCAGAACAATTTGGCTTCCTTTCGAACATCGTCGATGACAGGCTCGTCTGGATCTTGCCTCGCAGCCTTGACAGCAACAGTTTCTTCCTTCCATATTCCACGATAAACTTTTCCGAAACCACCAACACCTATCACTTCTTCTAACTGTAATTCTGAGAAGTTGATTTCAAAGGGTCTGTCAGATAGTTTGTTATGAGGTACAAGGGCACAGTTGTCTGCTTCTTTGGTGACAAAGTTACTGGGGAAAATCCCAACATTTTCTTGAACTTTCCCAATCCACCAACCATCATCTCCTGAATATCGGGCATCAGTGGATAACACTTCCACCTGCACCCCTCTCTTTAGTGTCAACTCATCTTCTCTAGTGGCCTCATAGTCAAAGATGGCAGTCCACAAAGGACTGTTATCATTTTCTTCCCTTCCACGAGGTCCATAGTTTCTAGAATTGGGTTCCATCGAAGCTGAAATCATAGCATTTCGCGTTCGATGGAATCAAATATGACCCAATCTCGCACAGAGAACACATATCTAAACCACCCTGGTGAGGTGGGAACCGACATGCAAATGTAGATTCTGACATCCAGTTTTGACAGATACAAAAACACGTTAAATTGTCAGTTTCAATACATCCATTTCAGCCATCACCTTTCCTAGAACCCAAAAGGCTAAGTCTGTGCCATAATAGGGTTCACCTCACCTCTGGATGCCGTGAAAATCCGTGTTTATCACCATTGTCCAGTCAATTTGGGCCTCCGCCGCCATTTTGTGTACTTTGACCTTGAGTTATGGCTATATGTGGATTAAATAACTTTTATCAGTGTTGTTACACTATTCAAATCATCTCCAAAACCACAAATACAAACTTCCCGATCTCAAAATGGATTACAAAGCAGGCAAAACAGACACATAGTAGCGAAAAACTCCGCGCAAGGTGCGAGAACTCCAAGTCTCGTTCGAACTCGTTGATCGCGTGATTACACGAGATTGTTTGCCTTGGGTGAATCCGGAAGATGGACGACGAGAACAAATGAAACGAATGAGAAAAATGCCTGTATTCGACGGTCAATCCACGATGGTGAAATAGCGAAACCATAGCGGAGACACCCATCAATGGGTTCCCATATCTTAGACATCCTTGGTCAGGGAATATGGGCTTCCTTGACCGGGGGGTGGTTTTACGACCCCCGTCAGAGTATCTTTTGCAACACTTTCCACCTTTACCTGTGGATGTTTTTCCTCGCATTTCCACTAATTCTACACCTTGTAAGTTGACTCTGTCGTTTCCCTTCAATGTGTATCATGACTGATAGTGGGATGATTCAAATACCATTCTGAAAAATTAATATTTATGCACCTAAAGTACGAGCTGGTGTAAATATGCATGGTGATTCCTAAAAATGAAATGTCATTGTCACATGTAGGCCCAATGAAGTCAAACAGCTAATTATGGTATGATCTCCAAACGTATGAACTCTGTCTTTGAATCGTGATATTATGATAGATATGATAAAATTAAGAAGATATTTTAATAGATTGGCCACCACATGCCCTACAGGTGATATGATGTCATTTCATCCAATTTTGGAAATTGTTTTTGTTATTGATCTATATCTACCCCCAATAAATAGTTGGATGTAGGCTCAATGCAGCTAAGTAAATCTGGTAACTGGGGTAGGATGGACTACCAGGTCCAGTATGGTACTAACATGAATGGACAAAAGTCAACATCTTGGGTTAATATTCAGTTCTGAATATGCTGAAGCACAAAAACAAGCTGAGGTATTTAGATTGTTGAGATCTGCAAACATGCTAGCATCTTTTCACAATCAGTAAGTTCCATGTTTTGCACCTTATGGTTTGTTCAACACTAATTCAAATATCTAAGAACCATGTAGAGAATTTACATAGTATTTACAGTGGGGTTCTTTGTTAATGCTTTATACTGAAATATGTGTTACATATTCAAATTGTTTTTGCATTTCAAATGGATTTTTCCATATATTTGGAAATTGTCAATATATATGATCCAATGCTTGGTGTTTCATGACAGGTTGATATAGACATTGCCCAAATTGTGTATTTTATTGTCAGTATTGCCTCAGGGTATGTGTTTAATGGGTTCCATGAACCTTTGTTCTCTTTCAGAAGACTGGAGGATATTGTAAATTTTCATGACCTTCAGGAATCTATATCATCCTTTGAAACAGAAAACGTGATAATGTCAGTGAACGTTGCATTGAGGTCAAGTCACTGCAAGTCTGAATTTGAAATACTTCAGTCTAAGTATTCAGAATTGCTCTTATAATAAAGCCTGGAACTCGTTGCAGTCTGTCAGCATCATCACAATGTGTTCGTTTTAATACTCTAATACAAGTTTTAAATACAACATTGTGATATGCTAGTGATTCTACTGTCCATCATCAACATAATTTTAGAAATCAGATATTTATTCACCCCACATAACCACATTCCAGAGTTGCATGTTTTCACAAACAATGTTGGTAAAATGAGAAATGACTCTCTGAATGATACCTGAGTATTAAATATATATTTACGCACCATCAGTTGAAGTGACATGCCTTGTTTTGTAGGTGATTTTTTTTTAGAACAGGTTGAAAAAACTATCCCGTAATTAATAAACAAGACATTTCAGCTTTACTTTACTTGACTTTACTCTAACATCTGATTACCATTACAGATTGAAGAAGGATGGAAGGAAATGTAATTAGGAGAGGATATTATGAAATGTATTATAAGTGACATTCAAGGTACATGTAGCATGTGACAACTGGCATTTCTACCAGTGTTTGAGAATTTGCGGTATCACCCATTTATATGCTATGTAAATACAAATATTGATACTATCTAGGAAGTATGATGCTCAGATAAACTTTCGATGCATGTGTCTTTTTTTTTTATTAACTCCTGATCATATATTCACAGGGATTTCAGAGAACACATAGACGTGTTAAACATGATGGGTTACAATGTGGTAGAAGCTGGCAATGATTTTGTCACTGTTCATGGTTACAAATTACATGATCTGACAATCATTTGAATGAGTCCAAAACCTGGGCACTCACAAATTGTGTTGAATTAGCGAGGAAATCTGTATATGTTGTGTTTTTTCACAGTACATTGATACCCGTGAAGGTCCAGGTTAGAATATTCTTCAGTAACCCATGCTTGTCGTAAGAGGCGACTAATGGGATTGGTGGTCAGACTCGCTGACTTGGTTGACACATGTCATCGGTACCCAACTGCGCAGATTGATGCTCATGCTGTTGGTCACTGCATTGTCTGGTCTAGACTCGATTATTTACAGACCGCCGCCATATAGCTGGAATTAACTCACTCACTCACAGTACATTGAGTAACAATATCAACAGATGTTGTCATCCTGCCTTATATTTGCTACCTAAGTGCTAAGGTTAACACGGTCAGTTAGATCAACCTAAGGGTGCTTTGTGAAACAAAACTTCCGACAAAGGTAATGAACACAACAGACTGTTCTAAATGCAACACAACAAAGTTCATGGTTTTAATTGTATATTTCTGTGGATTTTTTACTCATTCTGTTTTTATCTGATCATCCTTTTATCCACAATGAAAAAAGTATTGACAGATTATTTGTATTCTCTGATTGACTTTCGTTACCATAATTATTTTTTAATCTAAACGGTAAAGAACTGAAACTGAATTTTTTGTAAAGTGGATATCTGACATGTGACCTATGAATGGATTGTTTCATCTGGAAGGTGTGGTATCTGAGATAGTGATGAAAGTATAGAAAACAGATGATGCTCTTCTTGTTAATGTTTCAAAGTATTTGATATTTCTAGTCATTGAAAATGTTGTAAAACATATTAAGATGTCATCATGATTCCTGATTTAGGCCTTATACATTAAATAATAATTATTAAATATTCTTGTCTTTCTGACAAATCACTAAGCAATGGCATTAACCATCTGAATTTAAAGTACTTAAGCCAGACAGGTGTGAAAGCACCATGTGATCTTTTGAAATTTTCATTATATACCTGTAAACAAAAACTCTTAAAATATCATGATTATTGACTACAATGAGGGCAAATTAGAAAAATGTTGAGGTTCCGATTACACCTCTTAAAAATTTAGGGTAGGTTGGTCAGATTTTTTTTTTACATATTTTTTAGAAGTAAAGTACAAACTAATAACACATTTATCAATGTGTAATTGTTTATTCAGTAAAGCTTGCGTCCATCATATCGACTTTCTCTATCAGATTGACAAATCACTGTTGGTGCCGGGAAGAAACAATGGTATCTGAAAGCTTATTTTATTCATTCCGCTTAAAAAAATAGGGTCGGCACCAGAATTCAATGGTTGGTCGGGTAATCAGAACAACAACATTTTTGTCAAAAAATGTTTTAAAATGTGCATGTTTAATTGTGCTTATGAAGATGGTTCAAGAAAGTTGAGTTTACCTATGATGTAGAGTGCGTCATGGAGAGTTGCATCAGGTGTAGAAATCCTATGTGATTTGCATTGTCAGATATTTCAATCATTTCTGTGATTCTAAATAAGGCCTTTTAATTTTTTGGGGGGTATTAAAATGTTTTGGTTTTACATTCAGTGAAGGTGGTCTAAAAATGAATAATTTTTCAACGGTCAGAATAATGTTGGTGCTAGTGATGGCAAATAGACTTGAATGTCACATTGATTGTCATGTTGAAGCTGTGGCGACTGAGTGGGCTAGATCGCTGACTTTGTGAGCTGGTGATTAGGCTGACTCTCAGAGTGTAGGTGTGAATCCCAGATGGGACGTAAAGTAATTAAGTACCGGAATCTTTACTTTACTAAGAAAGTGAAATCCCAAGTATAGCATGTTAAAGTTGATCCAGTTAATTGGTTGCCTATTTGCTAGAACAAAGAATTATATAGGTATTATGTACAATTTCACCTCATCTAAGCCTTAACATAAATTGTCACACGTTAATTTATTTCTTTGAAAAAGAAAGTATTTACTACAGATTGATTTATCTAGAACAAAGATTAAGTAAGGAGATTGGTGATTTTCAAATCAAAAGTTAGTTTTAATGACAAAGTGTACATTCCAATCAATCATTCATTACATTTTTGTCTAAGAGATGTGTTCTGTGGTATTCTTGAGTCGCCATAGGAATATCTACCGATCGGAATATCTACCGGTAGTCTACATTTTGACAAATGTAGAACAGATGATAAGGCTTTGTGACTTGGGGTTGATTGCTCGTCATCATACCCAGATCATGCTTTGAGCCACTAGCCTGGACAATGTGTAGGTTGATGTGACTATAGCTGGAATATTGCTGACTTGGCACATTCAGTAGCATTCACTCAACCATGACATGTGTTTGATTTACAGAGATATTTTGTGAGTTAAGCAAATGTAAATGAGATTTCACTGATTGTTATTTATATACAGAAGATGCTTGTTATATTATGAGAAGTATTTATTTCCATTTATTACTCGTACCAATTTGTTAACTGTACATAGTGAAGTTGGTTTGCTGTAGTATGGGTGTCATTGTCACTTAAGGAAATAATGCGCCGATAGTTTCAGTTTTGAGCAGTTTGTAATAAATGTGATTAAAGGGGAAAATATGTCAATGACTAATTGTTAAGTGGCTGTTATTATCTGAGGCACAGAATGGGAGGGAGACATAAGGTATTTCTTAGGGATTTTAAGAAAATGTTTTGTGGTTCCTTGTTAAGAAACTAGGCCTTGAGTCAATTACCTTTTGTTTTTAGTTTCTTTGTTTACTTGTGTGTAGGGACAAGTTTTTAAGATTGAAAGATTAAGAATGACTTCACAGTGTCTGTTGTTCCACCATGTAAGTATTACACTTTATCATTGCTCAACAATGAATCAATGTCATGTATGAACACTAATAGACTAGTGGTTTCTGACTCGTCAGAGAGATGAACCCCAACCTGAGGTATAACAAGCCACAACCTATATTTATATCATGGTACATATCTACCCTTTATGAAAAGTAAGGTCGTGGTCGCACAAAATAGGTATGGCACATGGTAACCAACATGTTGCCATAGCAACACATGAAATTTACACAAACACATTTTCATGAAATGTGTGATAACTTCTGAAATATTTCATATATTTCAACAAAACTGATTGCAAATTAAAGTACATAGTGTGGCCTTTTTTCACAACATAGATATGTGTTTTGAAAAAAATTGTTATAGTTGTATTTCGTTCACCCAAAATGAAATTTTAGCCA